GACACAACTTGTAACATCACGATTTCTTCCTCGGAAGCGAGGCTGTGGTCGAAGTTACAATAATACTGTAAGTAGTATTATATTGATACCCACCTTGCTTCGACGAAATTGTTAATATGTTATAAGCTATGTCATGCAAAAATCCTATTGGCCATCACGTCACGTCACGTCACAGAGACGCGCCGCTCTGATTGGTTGAAATTTCGTTCGCGGTTGAGAATTGTGCACTGTTGTCAAAAAGGTCGATTTAAGTTAATTAAAGATCGAAATGAGTAGTTTTAATGACGGGGTTTGATTTATAACGATGCAAATTAGTGATTTATGTATTTGTACCCCCCTTAAGTATGTGATCTTTAAGTATGGTGCACTACAACAGTTGACGAACATGGGGTCAACAATCAATCAAAACTGCCAGTTTCAGTAAATGTTTCACGAATAAACACAATGAACATTCTCATTTTCACCTATTCGCTTCTTTATTTGAAGAGTGTATGTCACATGTGGTCAGACTGAGAATGGCAAATAGATGACCCCAAATGTACTTTGGGGCCTACCAAAAGGCCAACCATGACCCCAAATGTGTACGGATCAAACCAACAGATAGACAGATAGATAGATATTCTTTATTTCCTCCATAAAATGAAGATTACATTTGTATGATAAACAACTGTACAGAAAAGGTTCTAACTATTAGTACTTATATTATACAGTAAGATCCAATTGTGAAAGAACTGAAGGTATTTATTAACATTGCCGGAGTATGCTCTTCCAACTGCGAACAGAGAGACTAATCATTACCATCAAACATTATAGTCCAATACATCTTTACAGTGGTCAGGTATACCTCCGAGGAGGAATGACAGGAATACATCATCGTCTTCCATCCACATTTTAACAAAAATGTCTACGTCAAGAATATCACAGATTCTTTCAAATAGAGAATTCCTTTGTACTAAGTTATAGTGGCATGACATAAAAACATGTTTCATAATGTCGTGAGCAACTGTTCCGCATAGACATTCCTTTGATTCTATTGGAGTTGCACCAAGCCTTATAATTCTCGCAATGTCAGTGAAGTTCTGAGGTCGTTCTAAAGCGAGTATCCATAGTCTATGTTCTCGAGCTCGTCCTGATCTTATTGTTAGATATCTGGAGAGAGACAACCTTGTCTGCAGCACATTTACCAACTGCATTTGATCATATATAGTTACCTTACTTTGACTAGTTGCGACCAAGCATTTTTCTTCATAAACTTAGAATCACAAATGTAGTTACGGATTTCACTAAGCGGATTGTATTTGGAAACAAGCCGTGACATGTTAAAAACAGGTGATTTCATATCAAAGTTATTCTTGTATGTTAGTGATTCTTTACAGTGGTATTGGCCAAGGCGGGCTAAAAACAGTTGTTTAAAGCTGTATCTTGTGTTGGCATTACAGAGTTTACCAAGGAGTAAGAGGCTTTGTTGATCTATATATCCTTTTAGGGATGTTATCCCGACTGTATCTCTTACAATTTCATTTGGCATATACTTATTAAACCCTTGGACTTTCTCACAGAAGTAGCGCAGGATGATTTCTAGCATTTCATATTCTTTAAGGGACAATGTGCCCCAAACTGTACATCCATACAAACCACAAGGTAGAATCACTCGATTCCAAATACGTACAGCCACTAGAGGATTCATACCGCCAAAGTAGAGGCCAGAGTCATAGTTCATATTTATCAATTTTCGTAGCTTTTCACAGACAAGTTTTCTCCTCTTCGTAGAGCACTTAGTAGTGCTGATTTGGACTCCAGCATAAACTACAGACCATTTAATAGGGTGATTAGTTTCTCCAAGATACAGGTTAGCAGGTTGGGATGCATTGCTACGTCCAACCGTTACAGCAGCGCTTTTACCAACATTGTATTTTAGCTGCCACCTATTTGCATATAGTTCAGTCACCTTCAACAGTCTTTGGAGATCTGTTGGATTAAGAGTGAGCAACGTTGTGTCATCGGCTAGCAATATTCCTGGGTATTTCCCCCAAGGGAGACACAGACCGCAGCCAGTATCATTTAGTTCATGTAGTAGATCATTTATATAGAGAGAAAATAGCCAGGCAGACAAAACACGACCTTGGCCCACGCCTTGTCTAATGTGAAATGGATCGGACTTAAAACCAGCAAAACTTACACATGAATGCATCGAACTATAGGATAGGCGTAGTATCCACCAGAGTTTCCCAGTAGTTCCAAGATTGTAGAGTTTGTAGAATAGACCGTCAAGCCAAACACGGTCAAATGCTTTCTCGTTATCAAGGAAAGCACAGTAGACAGGTGAATCCTTTTCGTTATAGTATGCAATACTTTCTACAAGTGTGAGAGCTACTGTATCAGCACTGAAGTCTTTTCTAAAGCCAAATTGGAAGTTGTGGTGAAACGTTATAATTTCAGCTGTCCACTTTTCACTTCTGTTAAGGTGCAATCTTTCAAACAGTTTACTGAGAATCGACGTTAATGTTATTCCCCTGTAGTTGGAGGGGTCAGCTTTACTTTAACCGTGGCCTTTATGCAAGGACCAACATTAAAAGCTTGTGGAATGTACTCGTATGTGATGATATTGTTGAACAATATCATGATATCCTTTATGAGGGATCTACCTACCTACTGGACATGTTCATTAGCGAGTCCATCGGGCCCTGGGGCTTTGTTATTTTGTAAACCTTTGGACGACGGCTAAAATCTCGCTGAGAGCGAATAGTTCATTCAGCGGTGAATACATGTCTCCTTCACATATATTTTTACTTTTCTCAAGACATTCAATATTTGATAGTGAACGCTCAATTTCTCCAGCAAAGTTGATTATCAAAGCTACTTTCCATGTTTCGTACAGATAGATCCTTGAAGTATTGACCAAACGTGTTACAGATATTTTCTGCATTATTGCCTGCATGATTTTTGTATACTGTACTGGTTACTAGACCTGTAGCTCTTTTATACCTTTTTGTAAGCTTAAAATATTCATGTACGTCTATTTCCGCTGCCTGGTGGATTTCTTTCAGTCTATCATCTATGAGACTTTGCTTACACTGACGGTGTTTTTTTCTAAAGATACGTTTAGCTTCTTTGTATCTATCATAGTACACATTATTTCTGGTATGTACTTTCCCATTATCAACCCAGAGTTTTCGTCTACTGCGCATATCATCATGCAGTTTATTTAGATTTTCTGCTTTCCAATATGGTTTCAGAAATTGTTGAAACCTTGATGACGGGATACTTATAGACGCACACGCATGTAGAATATCAGTTATGTGCTGATTGTACATTTCAATATACTCGGCATGGGACGAGAAGTGAGGAAGGTCGTGTGTATCGTAACGAAAGTAGTTTTCAGTTTCGTAACGATAGATCATGCGGTCGACATCCGATGCCTTTCTCCAACTGAGCCTAGACCCACCATAAGACACGCATGGATAATCAATTTTAACACATACATGAATGGGTGGGTGATCAGACACATTGTATGATATCTTGGTATCGATGGTGTAGCCTATAACGTTGTGGATATAGTCATCGTTTATACATACATAATCTATCATTGTTCTCATTCAGCACTTTTGGTTGAGAACGTATATTTACATTTATCGTCTAAGGGCACGACTGAATACAGGTCGCGTTCGTCAAGTACTCTCTGGAGACAGCGAGATCGAGTCCTCTTGGCAACAAAATGCAGAATGTCTGTATTAAAGTCACCAGTGAGTATGGTTTGACCATACTGTGAATATATATCATATAGGTTCATCACATAATGGAGTTGGTCGATATAAACACTTTCCAGGACATTTGTGGAAGGTAGTCTTGTGCCAATAACGTAGGTAATACTACTGCCATGTTCTAGACTTACACCTAACACATGATCATTCTCGGCCGTATCTGGTATTGACACTCTGCACCAGTCACCTTTACGCACAAAAACACATATGCCGCCTGAGCCTCTGTGGTGGGTTGTTGCTACACTTACAGTAGACATCGAAATCGTCATGAATTCCGTTTACGAATGATGAATTGTGTTCATTGAGCCAATGTTCAGTGACGAAGAAGATGTCTGTGCTATCCAGCCTTGTACATAGTTCACGTGTTCCATGCATAATACCTCTGATGTTCCAGACTGCAATCCGAAGCATGATAAGTAAGAGGGTAGTATACGACATGTTTGTCATCATCGTGAGTTTTCGTTTTCAGCTCCTAATCTATTGTTTGAGTTCCATGCACGGTTTGGCACCCATTTCCTGCAATGCACATTAGCAGGCCAGATAGTACTACCTTAGTACATTGCGTTGGGACATTCAGTCGGAGAGTTGGGTCTCGTCCTTCCCAATGCTTTAAAAGTTTCATGTAGCTAATTGTTACTCCCATTTCAGATGAATAGTCCTTGATTGCATCTTTCACAATATCAAAAGGCTGTTCCGCCTTTACGTAAGATAGCACGAGTCTTTTGTGTCGGAAGTGTGAGGCTCACGAGAAAGCCTTTCGCCACTGTTCTTTAAAGTTAACCGTCCTTGTATGTTTGTCTTCACTTGAGATTTCACGTGTTGCGTCATTATTCACGTCATTGTTTTTCTGGTCAGGTGACATCTCCTGTTTCGATTGTTGCGGGCTAATTAACGAGTTCTCGCCGTCGCTTGGTTGGCTATCTGAAATGCTGGTTGCTTCACAATGAACCGTCGCTTGTGTTGTAATTCTGTTTTCGGTGTTCTGTTCATGTCATCGTAGCATGGACTTTTCACCGCTTCAGAGTACAAATGCTTGTTTCTTGTGTTTATACAGTCAAGCTTCCCATCAATAGAACACGTTCTCTTGTCAATAGCCATTATTTTTGAGTCTACAATGTTATGTAGAGTTTGAACTTCATTGCTTTTACACTTCAAATCATCTCTTAGCATAGATATATCATGCTTCAGACTAGCTTCCCAAGATTCATTTTCGTGAGCTTGGATTTTCAGATATGCAATTTACCTGTTTCTTTCTTCGAAGGCGTCTATCATCTGACATATATCTTTCTCATATTTTTCTTGAAAGTTATCAACTTTATCAGATATCTCCTTGAAACGTTCGTTTATACTTTCGTGCATACACATAAGTTTTGTGAGGAAACATGACAGTGTGTCTTTTTCCTTCTCTGTATAGTTCTCACTTGTGTCGAGAAAGGTGATATCCATATCGGATTTAGGTTTGTAGCGACTCATGACCTCTGACTGTATGACATGTGCAGGCACAGACCCATTGATGAAGCTGTATAGCAGACACAGACCCATTGATGATGCTGTATAGCAGATATACATCTGATGCATATTTCATAATAACGCTCTTAGCCTGACCATTTCTCTTCACTCTTTTGATTAGGGATCCGCCCGGAAACTCTTTTTTGTCATATTTTGCAATATTATACAGGGAAGATCTAATGTGGTTCAGTTCAATTTCCTCATTTTTGTACACCTCTACCAGTTTTTCTTCACACGTATGCCTGTCATGTTCACCAATCATATCATGAAGTTCTTTCAAGATACCATATTGAAGAAAGGTTGGCCTCTGTGTTGAGTACGTTGGTGATGAGTTTACGTTAGTCATACTTAAACAGTCTGGCTAGTATGAAAAGTAAGATTACCCTAGGGTGCGCCTTTTCCTGGTTTCTTTAATATTCCCGTCCACATAATTTCCACACAGCGCAAAATAGATCTATACAGAATTACCATTAGTGAGTCTCAAAAAGTCCAATGAGATATGACATGTGGTTTAGTATTCACATACACGCTGTTGTCGGGAGAGCTTCAAACACACGTCCGCTCGCCACCAAGCCCAAGCCTTAACTGTAGCCAGAGGACCAGGTAGTCTTAGATGGTGCAAACGAAAGAGTTGTGTTCCTTAGGTATGTTTGTCGCACTCGTTTTGCCATAGCTGTAAACTTGCATTACTCAGATCTGTTCCCCCACATCAAGCTGCCATGTCATGATATAAATATAATACTGTTCTTTGAAGTGTCATTTAACCATTTATTGCCTTCTCACCATTGCTGTTGTTTGATAATTCCAGGTTTTGTACATTTGACTTGGCGACATGCCGTGTATAGATACTGCTTCCGGTAACAGGGTGGAGTCGTCTCCCCATGCTCTCCAGTTCCTGAATCCACAATGGCCAACATGTGATGCGGAGAGGTAGGTTCCACATATCCCGGTGATGTAGAAGTCTTCCATAGAAACTAATGGATGGTGCGGAATTGTTTCCAGAAGGTCATGGACAAGGTCACCGGAAATGACATAGGAAGGGCCGTGAATGTAACTGGGAAACACTTCCCCTTTGAATTCGTCTTCCGAAACGTAATACTTAGATTTAGGATCTCTAAAAACAGGTGCTCCATTGTCTACATAACCCATCATGATCTTTGGTGTGGTTGAAAAAGTCGTCAACCTTTCATACAACAATGGCACATGTATATACACATCGTCGTCAACCTTATGCACAAAATGGACATCATTGAACTGTGCAGCTGCCCATTTGAGCAGCCCTATGCTCTTATAGATCAGGTTTATGTATAGATCCTCCTTGTTTATTTGAACGATATCCTTATGCTTGCGAATTTCGTCTTGAAGGTTCATGTCTTGAGATGCCTCACCGATTCCTACAAAGAAAACTAAACATGCAGGTTTCTCTGAAACATTGTTGATGGCAGATCCCCATGTTTTCCGGATTGCTTCCCGCTGATCGGAGTGAGGTACGGCTGATATGACTGCAACCAGAAGCCACAGTTTATCACCCTTTACTCTCCCCTTACACTTGCTGCTGTCGACGGGAAATTGGATCTCATCCACAACCGTGTTCGGTGCGTATGTCGACCTTGTTTGGACGTTACTCCAATATGTTTTCAAAATAGTGCAGCATGTAAAATTGTCGTTCTTACAAACCGCTTGTGGTGGAGGTCGAGGATGGATCAATGGTTTCAAAACAAACACCATACTAACAATCGATATTACTATGAATCCTCCAGTACAGCATTTGAGTCTCCTCATCGTGTGTTCTTGAACACCAGGTGTTCTGAAAAATAGCAAAAACAAATGGATGCATGTGCATCATACCACATTATACCACCAAAGGTATGTTTGTAAAATTACAAAGAAAATGACAAAATTTAAAACTTTCGTTTGGTGTTTTGTTAAACTAACTTTGCCTGATGACCTGAATGTTGTTATGCCTATTTCTACAAGTTGATAATTACACTTGTTGCAAAAAGTCATAGTCTCAGTATTGATGCTTATTACAATGCCTTAACTTCATAAAGGTAAATTACCCAACTAAATAGATTCTCGTTTCACATGTTGCTGTTACGAATATAATAGATCTTCAAGTCAGTCAATAGTTCATCCGCCTATTTCATATCTTAATATCTAGATTAATATTATATCAGTTGACCAAACTATGACTTGCTTGATTTAGAACTTGTTATAATGGCAAATGGACCAGGATTGCTGAGATACATTAGGAATTAAGATAATGCATTTTCAGTGGGGCGCTTGGTTACTGTCAGTGTCGGCCAAGTGCAAAACTCAATGTAGTCCCTGAAAACGTGAAATAAACTTGATTATCATCGCGTTAAGCTCAATAGTATTTCCAGAAACACGCGCGTATTGTGTTATTATGTTGAATATTTAAGGAAACACAACTCTGCAATTTTATCTTTACTTTGGATGCATACTTGACCATGGCCTGAGGCCGAAATTGTTAAAAGTGCTTCAAGATGGGCAGTGAAGGGTGTAGCCTTGTCTGATTATTATTATGATCATGATATAAAAACACATTGTTTTACTAATATATTCTGTTCGTTTATTAGATATAAACATTTTAATAACCATCGTTGTGGCATTCATCACTATGGCTACAGGGCAATTTGACCAATCGGTATTCTGGGGTAGTATTTGGCCCGGTCCTGCAACATGGAGGCGCCATGCTGCAATGTTTACACATGTCACTTTTACATCTTGATGAAAACGAACCTGCTTTCTGGTTTGTAATGTGATTGACCTGATAATGTCACCAAAGATGGTGGACAGAACCTGCACATTTTCTGAACCAATTACTAAGCATGGATCTACCGTGGCTGTCAACAAGAAAATCTGTTCTGCATCCTCTTCACAAGGTCAAGGTTGGACAATTGCAGATACAGGTTTTAACATTACATAGAATGTCATATCATACCTTATGCATGAACTGAAACACATTTCACATTTCAGGAGTTTTCTTAAAATAAAAAACCCAAAATATATGTAAATTACGACTTCAAACGTTACTGTGGATGCTATTTTCATCATCTAGTTAGAAGATATATAGTTACGTTTGTTCAATTGCCGGGATTCATTGGAATTCAACATAGGCAAATTTAGTTTAAAACCGACGGCTTCAGTCTTAACATTTAGATATACAGTGTTGAATCTATACAGAGGGAAAATGAGCTTAATCTACTTAAAATGTCAATGTAGGTTCATCATGAACATGATACTCTGGACGTGAAGCCATGATGCAATAGTCAGCAGATCGGGATCCTATCTAAAGTCATGCTATTTGGTAATGAACATATTGCTAGAAGAACATGTTTTCCAGTAAGGGTACACTTGTGATTATTTTCATATAAAATTCTTGTATTCATCACAGTGTTGGAGCACTTTCAAAGTGTGAGAGCCTTTTTGGATCTTGGTGCAGGACCTGCACTGACAATGACTGAGTAAGAAGTACTAGTGAAATGTCTATATACTCGAACGTAGCAATAATTCAAACTACTATCGCCGACTGAACGGTTCTCAATCGGCGATCTCTACGATTAGCCGCAGAAACAAAGACATGGTAACCGTTTATTTCCAGTCAACAACCAAGGGACTAAATTACCTAGAAATGTTTCAAAGAAGATCATAATGGCAGCATGTAACTTGTATTGTAATAGGATAGTCTCGGCTCCCGTAACAATGCTTTTTCCCCTTGACTTATTTGTGTTGTGTGTTATATTTAGTAACAGATGGTTGTGTTTTCATTTCACAGCCTTTTTCCATTCAAACATGGTAAGTAACAATTACGGACGGTGATATCAACTTAAGAAATTTTAGTTACATAAGAGTATGATGAATTCCGAGAAGAAAACAAGAAGAAAATATCAAAAATATGCAAGGGGCTGAATATACTGTAACCACCATCTAGGACACGGAAGACCACATAAACTGCAACCAATTCGGCTTTGGTGAAACAGTCATGTGTGCTAGCGAACAAGTGCCAAAGTGTAATATTTTGTCAAACATCTATGTAGAAGATATTTCCATCTTATCAGTGATCCCTTAAACTACGAAGATGATACTTAATTATCCTCCTACATGATATTATAAACGTGCGTATCGTTCTCGGACCGTCCTGATATTTTCTTGTTGATTTGCACCCTATGCAGGATATACTTTATAAAACTAGATATATATGTACACACATAATATATTTATGATAAGCAGCATGTTGTTAGAACATTTGACCTTTTTCTGTATTTTGTCAGTTTGTCCAACTATCAGCGTTTACTAAGTATGTAGAAACTGGCACTAATGAAGACTCCTCGTGGTGAGTGCTGGGTAACGCTGATAGCGTGTGGACCCGGGGTAAAATATATTTCCTCAGCACCCCACTGCTGTTCGTAAGAGTTGACCGAACTGGGCAATCTGTTTGCCGTGGGTTGTGCCCCTGTGTCGGTGGAGGAAGGGATTCTGGTGGTTGAGGGCAGAGGTGCCAAGAACCGTGTTCCTTTTGCTGAACACACCACTTCTGTAACTTCACCTCGATTGGTGATAGAATGGGCCCGGTTCTATGAATCGGCCCTTTACGCCAAGTCTTGTGGATGGTGATTATTTTTGCACATATCAAATATATTATTGTCTTCGCTCTTCGCTATTAAAATTCAAATATATACGAAATTGCCAAGAGTCCTATGCCAGAAGGCGATGGCTCATGGACGCTCATGGGCCAATCTGGTAATGCTGACCTCCGAAAGATGTACATCTCCAATTTCTTGTCATGGGCCAAAGCATTCTGACATTGAATTGGCAGAAAAATACAGCTAACCTAATCATATTGTCAGGTGCTAATTGACATGTCCTTGTTGACATTCCGTGGTGGATGGCGAACAGGGGTGCCGAATCATTTATTTTTATCATGGATCCAAAACAATCTGGTTCATTTCGTTATGAAAAGAAGAGACGCCTATATGAAATAGACAAAATCTAGTAGAAATATCTCTCAAATGCTGATTCATGGTCTAGATTCCTGTTCATCGAAGATAAAGATGATCTGCTTATTGAACGTAATCCATTTGCCATTTCCAAAACTACCTCTGGAATTTGTGGGGAAGTGACGAATGTAGCCCGTCTTCTGATCGGCTCGCCTGTGATCGAGTGTGCATGTGGACAGCTATCTCTGAACCATTTTTCAATCAAAACGTTTGCAAATGTTAAGGATGCTGTTTAAGAACCCGAAAGTCCTGTCACGGCATCGTTTTAACATTAAGTATGACCTGTTTTAGTCACTACGTGGATGAAATAATGCCGATGTAACTTTAACTATTAAGTCACTCACACACTCACAATTAGCAGAGATTGAATGTGGTTGTGCCCTCGACGAGGGTTGAAGTATCGTAAGTCCCATATTATTCAATGCATTTACATCGTTTTAATACCAGAAAATATTTCTTATACGTTTTTTATATTGTATTATCCCAAACAGTCATATAATTTTTAAATGAAATGCCAGTTTTAATATCTCAAATTGTGATATTTTAGTTGTTTTACTGTCCTCTGTCGGCAGCCTTTATACTCTAATCATCTCTTATTAACGTAGGACCTTTTTAGTCTGTGTGACTTTAAATCACTTACTCATTATGCAGAAAATACTTTGTTTGTTGTTTAACGCCGCAATAAGTTATATTCCTTCTATATGTCGGCGGTCTGTAAAGTCTGAACCAGACAAGTCAGTGATCAACATCATGAGCATCGATCTACGAAATTGGGATACAATGACATGTATCAACCAAGTCAGCGAGCATGACCACACGATCCCGTTAGTCGCCTCATATGGCAAGCATGGGTTGGTGAAGACCAATTCTTAACCGGATATTTGGTATATAATTATATGAATAAAACAACACTTCCACATATTTGAATGAAGTGTCATTGACCGTTCTGACATTACCCATCAAAGTACATGTATATCAAAGTTAAAAGTAAAAAAGTAAATCGATCTTTATTAACTAATCCAGAGGTTTCATATGCGTTTATCCATCACCTACGTATGAGTGCGACGTTTCGGTGTAGGTACTAACACCGTTATCAAGCAAGTGATGCAACAATTTGTAACAAGGAGAATATATACATTGCTGCATAGTGAGTATATACAATTAACAAGCTTGGTGTACATTGGATATTTGATAAGTGATTTGAGCAGAGGAGGTTGATGTACAGAGTGATTGATTGTAATTAGAGTTTAGTTTATACAATTGATGAGTTTGACGTACAATGGGATGATGACAAGTAAGTAGGTTGAAGTACACTAGTTGTGATTGCAAGCACAAAGGGGAGCGTGGTAGCCAGATGGACAAAGGAGGTATGGAAGGATTACTGGTGGTGGTCTTTGATTAGGTGGTGATAGGCTGAGGAGATGAAATAACCTTGGTCACGATTCATGGTGGGGTTGTGGCGTTGGATGTGTATGGCTTCAAGGAATTCCTAATTTTGTAGTTGACTATCCACAGAACTTAGTTTTCCTTCATCTTCACAACTTCTAAAATGCCCCTCAAAGAACATCATCTATGTAGATTAAAATATCTTCTACGAAGATGCAAGTATCATCTATGACGAAGGTTCATCCAGTTAGATAAAGGGGTCATCAAGGTAGATGAAAGGATCATCTAAGTGGGAGTAAGTTATCATCACGGTAAATAAAGAGATCATCTATGTTGATGAAAGGATCATCTATGTTGATGGAAGGATCATCTATGTTGATGGAAGGATCATCTATGTTGATGGAAGGATCATCTATGTTGATGGAAGGATCATCTATGTTGATGGAAGGATCATCTATGTTGATGGAAGGATCATCTATGTTGATGAAAGGATCATCTAGATAGATGAACGGATCATCTAGCAGACTCGACCGATGCGGGACAGAAGCACTGCGTATTTATAACTTATGACCTGCGTAATAGCGTACGCGCAGCGTACGCAGCATAGTTTTGTGCATGCTCAAAACTATTACGCGTAGTGGACCCTACTGTGTGCATGCTGGCGTACATAAAACCTGCACAAAACGATTGAGATGCATATGAGGTGCGTATGGTGCGTACGACTGCATATGAAAGAAATGTCAATGCGCAACTCGTATGGAATTAGGAAATGCAGAAGTGTGACAGGTCCATTACGTCTTCAAACAAAATGTTATATGCTTTAAATCCACTAAATATATACAGTAATTACCGTGCAAGATTATTGGCTCTGTCTTTACGCATAGTAATTATTCTTTCTAAAATAGATTAATTAAAATCCAGAAATCATAAAAATGAATATGCACTATCAAAACTGACAAGTGTTAGATCAGCTGTAGCATACGTCTTGCAGTTAGCACATTTATGATTTGCCATTGTAAGTTTGTAAATAATAACAAGTAAAGATTTCCATTGACTTTTATTATTTGTTAAAGTTTTCTTTTTAAATCCGTTTTGTCTCAAGATTTCT